AAGAGACAGGCCTTAAGTTGACTTAGTTGAAAATGAACATTGCTTTAATGGTGTCTTCTAATTATAGAAATGAATTTTTATGACTTATTGCAAAAATCTTACGCTATTCCTTATCCTTGTTGATTGCATGTATTTCCACCCTGTTCTTGATTTGAACTGTTCAGGAGATGCAGAAGTCATTTTAATTCTTTTTTTTTTTTTTTTTTCCTTTCATCTGTTTCAATAATGTTCCTTCTGTACAAGCAGCCTTTGTTGCTTTCAGGAGTGGCTATATCCAAAGGTGAAAACTGATGGTTGTGCTACAGTTTTTCACAGCAAAGACTATCTCTGTCTGGGGGGAGAGCGCAGTGTGAATCAGCAATATACAGATATTGCAATAAAAGCCATGCTGATTAAAAATCAGGAACTGCATCAGCTTAAAAAAAGGCAAAGGGAAACCAGCAGAAGACCTGAACCTATTTTTGTATTTGCCTTTACAATGTGAAGGTAGGCAGTATTCGGAACAAATCTCGCATACCATTCTGTGGGAACACAAAGCTCCTTTGTTAGTCTGAGCCACACAGAATTGTGTGGACCAGCTGTTATCAGTGTAGGGCTGTACCACCCCACTTGTCCCTGTTCTGAAAACATACTAGCTGACAGTGGCTTTATAGGTTCTAAAACTGGTTTTGGTTTCTTGGCAGCATGACTCTGTATAGTTAGATATGCCTGCAGACCTACTAGAGGGTTCCTTTTGAGATTGACCCCGGAGTAAGAAACTCACCTGTGAAAAAAGGGAAGTGGGCGAGCTGGGAGCTCAAATACTGGGAGTCAGATGTTTGTTTGGGAAGGGAATTCAGAATGTGTGCCACTTAACAGCACTTCCTCTCTGAAAAATGGAGCCAAACATGAAAGTCAGACTCAGAAGGAATTGACTTCTGAGGTGGGTAGTTGCATTAGCGTTTGTTGGCATATGTAGTTTTCTGGTTCTGTGGAATAAATTATTTTTGGCGCAGCCTTCTGGAATGCATTTTGATGGATCAAGCAGTTAGGTATGCTTGTTATTTTGTGATAACTGCTTTTGGCTTCAGGTCCAAAGCATCCCCTCAGTCATTGTAAAACATGGGGGGGGGGAGATTACTAATGACTTGCAAATACCAGAAGAATGAACAGTAACTTTTCTTTTTATAGAGGAAGCAAAACCTGTTATTGAACATTCAGTGAAGCTAAACCAGTAAGAGCTTATCTGCACTATGCTACTTTTTTTTTTTTTTTTTTTTTTTTTTTTTAAAAAAATAAATGCTAATGTGGAACTCTTTCTTCCTGCAGCATGGGATTCTAGAAGCAAAAAGGGGTGGAGTTGTTTAGTTGCTAGTTCAGAGGGCTTGGCTTTGATTTAGCATATAGAAACTAGGTTATATTATAGACCTTAGCTTTACTTGGGCACTTTTATATTAGTCTTTCTTCAGGAACCCTTTTCACTGCCTTGTCCAATTTTTCTGCAAGTTTGTTGGATGGAAAGATGTTATACTTTTCCTGGGTTCCTTCCTGTGTCTCTTAAAGAGCTCACTCTATTACTGTGATTAATGGTATTTGTTGGCAGGACTTGGTGAGATTTGCCAATTATTTTTGAAGCTTAATGTTTATAGTCCACGTTATGTGGCTTACAACTC